ATGTGCTAGTTTCAACTCGATGGCACAGACCAACAAAAACAATAGCCTTCAGAAGGTATGCTTTGGCAATATCATAATAGCCTGATGTTGCTTCCAGAAGCCTCTGATGTTATGGTATCTGTTTGTGATAATTCAAAGATTGCAAAGTATGGAATATGAAGAAGAAAACCACAGTTCTATTCATTCACACCACTGATTCTGTTGAACTATTTTAAGATTTTTTTTTATATCACACTCTATTCTTTTTCTCTTCTATATCAGATAAGAAAATAATAGCACCTTACAGGTTACATCTTACACGTTAAACTAGTTAGTGGGTTTCCTCACATGTATACAAATAATTACATATATATATATACACAAAGTTAAATACAGGTATTTCCTTTTTATGAAATTGAAGAAAAATATATGTCATATAAAGGAATTAAACTTTTGAGGGGAGGGAAATGAAAAAAAGGAAATATTGACATTTCATCAACCAATGTTGACTAGAGTACTGAAGATTAACAGTATCAGTCCAGAGACTAAGGTGCACCTGATCCAAGCCATGGTCTTCACAGTTGCTTGCTATGAATCAGAGAGCTGGACAATGACTAAGGATGATAGAAGAATCAAGGCCTTTGAATTGTGGTACCAAAGAGTGTTGAACATACGATGGACTGCCAAGAAGACAAACAGGTCTATCCAGGAGAGAGTGAAACCAAGCTTTTCCTTGGAGGCAAAAATTTTTAAACTCCATCTCATATTACTTTGGGCATGTAGTCAAAAGGGACCAGTCCTTGGAGAGGGACATCATGCTTGGAAGAGTAGAGAGACAGTGCAGGAAAGGAAGACCTGGGTGAAATGGATTGACACAGAGACTGAAGTAATGGACGTAGGTGTGTAAGAGTTAGTGAGACTGACTCAGGACAGAACAGAGTTCAGAACTATTGTGCATAGACAGGGTCACTATGAGTCTCAGGTGACTTGATGGCACACAATAACAAATTAACTTATATAGATCTCATATTTAATGACTATGAGCTCACAATATCCATTCAAATGACACCTGATAGGATAGAAGGAAGCAGTGATTAAGAAATCATAGGGAAGAGTCACAATCAGATATGGTGACACACAATAAAACATTTTCCAGACTTACATTTAAGCAAACATTCATGAAAGCAAAAAGTCCATACCTGTTTTAAAACTCCGTACTTCTTAGGTCATTGTCAACCTCATGGAACTGGAACCTTAAGGAAGTGGTGGTTTCCTGGAATTCTCCAGAAAGCAGCCCTGTTTTCTTTAGCAGTGGTCCAAGTGACCCTGAAGTTCAAGTTCCCATGGTTACTGCCAACTCTGTTGTTCTTTTGCAACTTAAAAAGGTTAGGTGGGAATGTTCTCTATAAGATGGATTTAATGGCATTCCTGCCAAATTAATCAAATCCAACAATTTCCCCAATTCAACCAAAGATTTTATTTATGTGTTCTCTAATCTATGCCTTTAATGGACATGAATGTGTTTTGGTGTAAAGAGTCACAAAGAATCACTGAGTGAGAAGTATATATTGTAGGTCACAGGGAAGAGACATGAAATGTTGGGGACAAAAGAGAAGCAATTAAAAGAGGATAGGTAGAGTAGCTCATTAGAAAATGCTTCTAGGGAAGAAACCCTTGGCATGAAGCCAAGCTATAGTCACGGACAGAAAACCATATGAGAGAGAGTGAAAAGATTGCGCTTTTATCTCAAGATCACTACTCTTTATCATAATCATTTGCTCCTTCCTCACACAGAAAGAACATCCTTCTTTTTCATATATTTCTCTTCATTAAAACAAGTGTCACATACACAGAAACACTTGGAAACATCCATTGCCCAAAACAAATAACACTTGCAGGCAAAGAAATGGATAAAAATATTGCTGATGTTAGTCAATATTCTACCTGAGTGACATATTTTAGAAGACAAACACCTTAGAATAATATATTCAAGAACTACCAGAAGAGTGCATGACTTATATTGTAATGTAACTTGGTTTAAGTTCAATGAATTATTCTCCTCCAAGGAATGAAAGAAACTCTGTTTTATAACTGAAGCAGTAACACCTTGTGACTTCTGTTAGAATCACAGAAAGAAGCAAGACTCAGGGATGAGGGACAAAAAGTCCCTCTTTCTAAAATCCAGACTAAAAGATCTATCACGTCTTTTATGTTCGTATTTAAAAATCAATTAAAATGCATAGCCTTAGACACCTATCAAAGAAACAACACGAGAGTCTGTGATCTCTGCAGCAAAAATAATGATGGTTTTCAATATTCTAAGCACTTCAAGCTTGATCCTAGGACAACTTATGATATTGGCACAAGATAAGGCAAGGTTCTGTTCACAGGATTGCTATGAGTTGTTCTCAACTGGATGGCACCCTCCAACAACATCCATAACTGCTTAATCTCTTGATTTGCCTGTATAGTCTTGTCTATTAACTTGTAATTAACTCTTTTTCTCAGCACTGAAGGTCTTATTTTGGTTTGAATGATTCATATTTTTTCTTTTCCTACACAACCACTGTTCAACAAAGAGACACTACACTTTTCACAGTCTTGCCAAAGTTAACTTTCAAGAGAATTAAAAAATGTCTTCCAAAACCTAATCTTGATAGTTTACCTTAATAATGAATTGAAGTCTGTGACATTCTTTGTAGGCTGTGATCAAAGCTGAGAACACAGCTTTGTTCCCTACTTTCCAATTTTTTGAGGCTGTTCTAAGTAGAAGATCTTATATATTGGTTTGGGGAAACCTCCTGATATTTGTGTGTTAACGAGTAAGAGTTTCTGATGCAATGTAATTAACTCCAAGCCAGGATGTGCAAAGAGCAGCAAATGAAATCTCTGATAACTTCATCAGACTACTCTTTTAATTCTGTGTTCTATAAATAAGCTTTTGAAGCCTGGAGAAGCTAGATTCCACTTTGGATGAGGCTTTCCCCTCTTATTCTCAATTTCTATCTTGTTCCCTTCTAGAATCCAAAGCAAAGGAAGCAAAAAAGCTTGCAAAGATACACTTAAATGAAAAAGGAGAAGCATGAGATGCAGTAGCAGGAGCAACCAGATGTAAACAACTAAATATTGTATGAGTCGATTTATGTGACATATTTTCAAAAAGGCCAATTAATAGACAGAAATAGATTAGCGGTTGCTTAGGATCTCAAGTGGGAGCAAGGATTAATTGTGAAATATCAGAGTGAAACTTGAGGTGATAAAATATTCTGAAATAGGATTTGTTTTCATGTTTGGGGGGAAAATCTATATATTTCACAAAATAATTACTTAAATGCACATTTGCAATTTTCAAATGCTATAGAATGTAAATTATACTTCCCTAAAGCTAATTTATTTTGGGGGGGAGAGAAAACTCCAGGCTTTAGAGAAGTAAAAAACCATATTTCAATTAAGCCTTAATGAGGCAAATATCTTGATAAATTTATGGTTAATTAGAAATGTGTAAACACAGAAAAATAAGATGTTGGTTAAAAGAACTAAAAGTGACAGCAACACAAACACTAAGTGCAATAGTTTAGGAAGTAGTTGTTTATGTGGGCTTTTATTGACCAAGTTTAGTATTCTCTTTTTGTTAATGCATATGGCATTTTATTTTTCTTTTAAAAAGTAGAATTGAAATTTGGTAACAAATTTCTAATCAAGAAGCAAGGTTAAAAGACTGAATATCTAGACAGAATAGTTAAATGAAAGGACATAATTTTATTATCTCCTTTTATTTTGCCGCAATTGTTCCAGTAGAAATATCCCAGTGGAGTGAGCCCTAAATGATAAGATTATGCTGAGAATGATGAGTGAGCAATGCTCAGTAAATTCCATTTTCTCTTCCTGGGTGCACAGGGGACTATGTATCCCAGCATACCTTGCAGCTAAGATGAGGTAATGCCTGGCAAATAGAATGTGGTCACAAGAGATGTATGACACTTTCATCGAGGCAATTAAAAAGATGTGCAAAGCCATCCAAGTGCTCCCTCTGCCCAAGTGGATGGGAAGTGAAGAGTCCATTGCACCCAAGTGATGGTAAGGTGATGATGCAGAAGGAGCGCAGATTCCTGAACTACTTCTTCAAAGAGAATTGACCAAGAGAACTGTCCAGTTGACAATGGACTTTGAGCAATGTTTATTTCTTAAGGTTAGTCACTGAGATGTAGGACTATTTACTGCAAGTTTTACAAACTATTAGTATTCTTTAACACTAAATAACACACTATCAGGACTTAAAGTATAATCCTTCCTTTTATCTATCTCTTCTCCTCTTATGTTCACCCTTCCTCTAAGATTTCCCATTTTCCGTTACTGATAACTTTAATTAAGGTTCATGTTTAAGGATCATATTGACAAACAGAGTATTCAGTCTGCAGATCATTTACACTCTGCTTCAAAACCTGAGATATTTTGAATGGAATACTATGAAAATAATAGGTAGTAATTCTTCATTTGGTGCAACAAAGTGTTGCTCAAATCTTTGGTTAAAATTTTGCATTTTCATCAAGTACAATTTTTAGCCCACCATCTAGAAACTTCCTGAAGATATAAATGCCAGGAAATAAATATCTGAGTTGGCAATCACCTTGTGGATTATGAACTTTGTGTTTATTGCCTGAAATTTTGGGTACTAGAGAAGTGCATGTTGGTTGGTCTAAAGCTCTTTGAGAGTTATATTCAAAGATAATTAAACTACTATTTGATTATTTACTTATTATCTAGGTGCCTTTTCCCTCCTTTTCTGCACAGTGAAAATATCCAAGAGAAGGCCTGCCCAATTCAAAAACATCACCCCAAGTCATCCTCAGGCCTCTACCGTCAGCCCACCCTTCTCATTGACCCCAGTTACCCCCAATTCTGCAATCAAAAAAATAAAGTAATTCAAATAAAAAAAACCGTTCATAAACAGTAAACAAAATAAAGTCAATTTTTCCTTTTTTTTTTTTTTAGAACAAAATGAAACTTGAGGGAAAACTTACTGGAGTTACAGTTTATCCTGATACAGTCTAGATGGGGAAAAATAAATGAAAGATGAAATTGCATCCTTCAAGGTAACAGCTGCAGACATCCAAAAACAATCAGTCCACCCTTCCGGGGACAGACACACGCAAGAAATGTGGCCATTTTATATTATATACAGCATGTACAAGTTTAAGGGTGGGTGTATATGTACAGTATATTGTTTAATAAAGTTAGATACATATATATATACACACACACACATATATATACACATATGTATAGAGATATATACTGGTATACATATATATCCACAATAGACACTGAATAGGCTCTTTGTTAACAACAGAAAAATTTATATCAATTATTTTGTGCCTGAACTTTAAAATAAATGGTTTTTTGTTAAAATTGGCAAATGAAGCAAAAAATTTTCCCACCAAATATCCTGTTTCCCGCTACAATTGATTTTCTTTAAATTTGTTTTCCTAAGTAGCATTAATGTATTTTTTGTATTTGTATTCCAAACACACAACACAAATCTGACACCTTTTATTTTATGTTAATTTTTTTTTTATTCTGTCCATGAAGTTTCTCAGTGCAGTATTTAACCCTTTCTCTTTTCTAAAAACAAAGTCCCTCCACCCCCTTGTCAGGTCAAGCCCCAAATGGAGAAATTGACAAAGGCAGACTTGCCATCACTGGCTGCAGGTAAGGAAAGGGTTAACACCACCTGGTCATTTCCTGTCATAAAATGGCCACTTGCAAACAGCTAACCGCACAAACACCCTTCCCAGATTTTAGAGAGGAGGGGCTGAGTGTAAGAAGGAAATTATCACAATTGGTTGGGTTCTCTGATATTATTTCAAAGACTCCTGAACCAGTCCATTCACGGAACCCATCTTCGTCTTCTTGCCTGAATGCCCAGACTGAATCAAGTGCCTACAGCATTCAGGGAGAAGGCGAGACAGGCCTGTGTGGAGGTGGCACCAGGTACCTTTGAAAACCCTGCCTGGTTCAGAGAAAAAATGATTATTTTTTTTTAAAAAAAGAACAAAAACATGTTCCAAATTAATAAGTAAGAGCTAGGGAAATGAATGACTACATTTCCAATACTGGTAAATGGGTAGGGGAAATAGGCAGCCATATTAACAAACATCTCAAGTTAATTCAAGTCCAGCTGCCTTGTTGAATCAACAGATGGTTTATGATTGAGGGAATTTCAATGTGTGTTTTCCATAACTTGGGCATTTAAGAATAAGAAACAAAGCTATAAAGTAAAGGAAGAAAGACAAGAAAAAAGCATACAAATTACCTCCTCGTCTACCTACGCTTGACTCAATGGTTTCTGAAGGACTTGTCAAAGCTACAATGTTATCATTTAATTTTAACATGCAAACCATTTTAAGCCAGCAAGTGAAAAAGGAACCAGTGGGAAATGACAGGGCAAAATGAGGCTATAGGGAGCCAGATAGTCATTTTGAGGGAAGAAGTAGGAAGTTTATTGTTCCCCAAAAGAACATCTCTTGAGAAAAATCTGGGTTTGGTTTCGTGCGGTTAGGTTTGTCATGTGTCGTCAACCGCAACAGAAAAGTGGGAGCAAACAGCCCTGGAGCAACTGGTACGATCACCAGACAGAGGAGGCCATGCCCCTGGCGAGGTCGGGGAGGAGGGAGGGTGGGTAGGGAAGAAGAGGTTGGAGTTCAGCTTTTAGCTACATCTACCATCATCCAAACCTGGCAAAATGCCATTCCCTCATCCGCTAAAGAGAGAGAGGAAGCAGATGTGTGAGCATACTTGAAAGGAAAAGAAAGAGAGTGGTTTTAAAGTAGAGATCCCCTAAACTACAAGCTAGGAGTGGTTTTCTCTAGTGTCTATAAAGCTGAGGGCTTTATTATGAGACAGGGACATGGTCTAGAAGCATGTGTTAAGTTCTTCTTGTCCTTTGCAATTTGCAAGGTTCCCTTCATATACTGACTGTTGTCTTTAAATGTAAACATAAGCTTCAAGATGGCAAGCTATCGTGGTCCTTTTAAGTCATATGTGGCAATGACTTAGTCATTTTATCTGATGAAAAGCATGTTTGGAGGTGAAAATCTAGCTCGGTCCCTTGTGCACAGGCTAAAGAAAGGGCTGTCGTGATAGATATTTGTTTTTTCTTGTTCACTTTAAGATAACAGAGACATTGGGTTGGGAAGGTAATCTCATTTAGACCTACCTTTGGTAGCTGCCAAAGTTCTGTCTAAAAACAAAACACAAACAACCTGTCTGAGTTATCAATATAGTGTTTGAAATGCATTTATTATTTGTTTAGTTTAGTTTCACAGTCTTAGGAGAGAAGATTATTTTACATATTGATGACTTTTGTGTTGCACATCGAACGGGTAAATAATTTTAGGAGGTGTGTGTCTTCAATGATATGTAAATATTAGTCATGTTTTCAGAGAGGGGAAAATTTGGAGAACAGTGCAATTAACAGAAGTGTAAGACAGTCTTTCACGAGCCTTGTGCCATTAAGGCAGGGCTGCCAGCACTATGCAGAGGAGTCTACGGGCCCACACAATTGAAGTTGTACCAGTATAATTGGCATCTCTTCAGGTGGTTAAATATGAAGTAGGCCTAAAAGAAGACAAGATTCTCACTATGCATATTCTAAGGGTGACCATCATAATAGCATCCAAAGCCATTAAGAATATCATATCATTTAGCCTTCCTTCATCTCTGCAACCATTTATCGGTATGGGTTCTAGCGGGATCTCTGTGCCCAATCATCTGTGTGAGCAGTAAAAAGTCATAGGTCATTTTCATTTCAAAGTCTGTACTAATATGCATAAAACATATTTTGGTCTTACACACAAAAGTATTGGAGTAAAGGTTTTAAACCTTTTTTTGTAATAATTAAAACACGGTCATCATTACTTTTTTCATCCTAAAATACCAAAATATAGCTAATAAATAACAATCTCAAAACTTTTTAAAACATGCTGTTTCGTACACTCAAAGTCATTTGGCATGCCTACTTCTACTCTATCTTTTTCAGAAAGGAAAGCTCTTGAACAAACCAAGTGTTGTCGATACATAAGAGATACACTAAAGGTATATTAACTGAGATCTTATACCATGAAGTTGCATGTGTGGCCAGTTTGACATAAATTGCATTATCATTGGTGGTGTGTTTTGGGAAAAAGACACAACTTGAGAGGTGAACGAACAAAGTGATCATTTCACATTAATTCCAGCGCCGTGAAAATGAATTTGTAAATTTTACCAGAAAATGTTTTCTTCTTCACCCAGAAGAAAAGAAATATAACCATTATGGGTAAAGAAAACATGAAAAAATGAGTATATTTATATATCTGAAAGTGAGTCTTCATAAAAAAGCATGAAAGGGAGATGTGTATGTACTCTGTGTGTGTCTGCATGTGTCTTTAATGTATATTGTAGGTATAGTCCAAGGAATGTAAGTTTACAACATTAGATTGAGAAGAAAAAATATGTTTAAACAAGTAATTCTAAAAAAATTTCCTTCAAGGGGCAAAAGAAATCATTATTGTTTCTGAGAAGCATCATGCTTTCTAGGGAGAACATCTACTTTGCGTGAGATATTTCAGGTTAGGAGTCGTCCCACTGATGTGGGCCAAGGGAAGCTAAAAAGCAAAGACAAAGCCTTCTGGAAAAGCACGTCTCTCCTGTTTTAATTAGGGTTTAAGATTTGAAAATGAAATGCTTCCAGGAACACATGTCTGTGTGTGTGTGTTAGAGAATCTGCCCATCACTATACCCACCCTTTTTACCCCCTCCCAATTATTTTCAGATGTGGGATTTGTCACAGTTGGTTCTCTAATCTTTACAAAACAATATTGAATAAAGTGAAGGAAACCTCTTTAAAGGCACCATGTGCACTCTGCCAGGACTGCCTGGGGCTGAATCATCCTTTTATCTCTTTGTTTCTGACTTTGAAATGGAGACAAGAGTTAAAATTGCTGTCTTCCTTTTGTGAGACAGTTAGGGCACCATGCTTGGTTTTATGTGTGTTTTTGTTTTTACTACTGTTTGACAGAAAAGAAGGCCCTCAGCTGCTGATTTTTGGTTCGGGGTAATACACTCTTTCTGTTGGTTTATATATGGGAAGATGGTGTGGGAAAGGGGAGGTGGGAGGGACCGGGGTATGCCACCCCCTGCAGGCTGCTCAGTACACCCTGTTCTCAAGGCTGTTTGCTATGCGGGCCGCAGGCTTTGGGCCTTTGAAGGGTTGAATACCATCTTTTGATTTACCATGATTGATGGTGGGGAGGACTTAGAAACTCAAGAACACAAAGATTCAGAATAAGACAAACAGAACCCAAAGTGACTAAACGCGCGTGCGCGCGCACACACACACACACACACACACACAGACATACACACGCACGAACCAAAGAAACACAAGACTGACAATAGAAATCAAATGAGATTGGATAGGAAAAAAACATAGGAATATAAAAGCTGAAAACCAGAAGGAAAAACAAAGACATAACTATACAAGTCACTGCTCAAAACAGTCTGTGTCCTCAAGAATCATAGTGGAGGCACTTTCCAAGGACAACCAGTTGACCTGAGAGTAGGTAAGACTGGTAGAGAGCCACACACTCCACTTTTCTGATAGGCCAGCTAGGGGGTGTTTTGTGTTCTTGCATCTGGTCCATTTGTCCTTCATGTCTTCTCCATGCCTCTGACAAGCTTTTCTATTCCAATATTTGTAAAAGAGCTCTGGGTCTAAAAATATTCACCACTGCCAAGCAAATCCAAAGGCTTAGAATGTTTGAACTCAGCTGTATCACTAACCTCTCAACACTGGGTATTAACCTCATGATGCCCAGAGGTTCCGGAAAGACTTTCTGAAGCGTAGAAATAGCAGAATGAAAAGCTTTCTGTTTTGCTTTGTTTTTCTCTTCCAGACACCAAGAGGCCTCCCATTCTCTATAGATGATTAGTTAGAACTCCGTAAAGAGGGTCAGTAGTAACAGATAATATGAGGCCATAAAAGGAGAAAGTTAATTTCCAAAACATGTGCTAGAGCTAATCACAGTACAAGAACAAAAATGCCCCCAGTACTACTACAAATTTGAAGCTGTCATAATATTTTAACATTAAAGCAGGTGAATATATGTTACAGGATCAGAACGGAGTAACTGATGAGTAATAGTGAGATTAATAATAATAGTTCTACAAAGGGCTCTTGGATGATGAGTACGGATATCATAGATGAAAACAGAAGTGGAAATCAGAATCAATATTTTCCTTCTACAGGTCAGAGACTTTAAATTTATGACATTCTTTTTCAAACAGAGTAATAAGAATAGACTGCATTCTCCAGTAGGAGAAATTTTGAGGATATAGAGTGTCATCAGGTCACCAGAATTTCTCATGTGTACGATCAATATGGTGCTAGAAATATTTCTAATTACCTAGATTGTTTCTTTTTACTCCCCAATCACACCCCCTTCATTTTTCCCCTGTTCTGTCCTATTTCTGTCCTTTTTCCTTGACTGTTTTGAGTCGCGACTAAGGAGTTGAACTTAATGGGAATGTGTTTGATCAAAAGATGGACCAAAGTAGCGTGTTTTACACAAAGCTAAACGGTACCAAAAAAACCAAGAAAGGAAACTTAGAAAACAAATAAACTCGTAACTAAATCACCACTGTCAGAAACCAGAAATTGACATCAAAACCTCATGCAGAAACAAGGAGAAAAAGGTGTTTGTTGCTGTTGGGTTTAATCCTTAGTCTATTAAACAAGAGGTGAGCAGCTAACTTTCAAGAAACAAACAAACAAATGAAAGAATTCAATCAAACCAATGAAATCATAAAAGAAGAGGAAGACAAGCCCAAACATAGTGGCAAAGGGTACTTCATACGATACCTAAGTTCACCATGAGCTTCACACGGCCCCCATCCAACTCCAGACGCAGGGTATCAGCCGAGTCTCTGGAAGTGGTAGCTACCAGTAAGCCATAAGCTCGCTGGGACATGAAGCGGAAAGACACATCCTCTGCCTCAGTGTGCATGACCATGGGCATGATGATCTTCATGTACATGCTGCCATCATAGCTCAGGATGGATGCCTCTGCCAAAAAAAAAAAAGAGCAAAGATTGTTAGGAAGAAGAATACTGGTTTCTAAATATTCCTTTGCTTCTAGAATGAAGGTGTTCCAGTGAAAAGGACAACACATTTGTAGCTAGTGATTTGTGTGATCAACCCCTGTTGCCACATTCCATGTGACTTTGAGCAGACCACTCGAACTTTCACGTTCTGTTTCTTCATCTTAAAACGGGAGATGACAACCCCACTATCCACCCCACCACATTCACCGACCTGTCAAGTCAAATGATGAACGAGAGAGCGTCTGTTATTATACTTCTGTGTGCTGTGGACATCAAGCAAGTGATTAAAAGAAATTTGGAATTTGCATGAGTACAGAACAGAGAGCATCAGTTCATATTCACCACAGTAGATAAATAGATATTTGGCCAAGAGTATAAACTGGTAGGAAGAAGAAAGTAAAACCAGTTTGCTATACTCAGGCACAATGAGGAATGGATGGGCTTAGGCAAAGCAGACTGAGATGCATCCCCCAAATTAATGGCACCCTTGCAAAACAATCTTCTCGTTATCCAAGAAGCTCCTCTAAAATGAAGGAAGAAGATTCATTGTTAGTTGATGCCTTTTCTAGACTAGGTGCTTTGGATAGGGGTTTTTCCATGTTTTCTCACTTACTACTAAGAAGGATGTTTATTGTTCCTCATTTTATAAAAAACAAGACAAAACAAACAAACAAAAAACCCACAAAAAAGTAGGGAAATGAGGCTCTTGGAAAGACCAAGACATTCGTGCTTGACTATTTTGTCACACCATTTAACTATTCATTTGGCAAGGATGCATAATGCAGTAAGTATCATTCACATTCCTATGAAACCAGTTCATTGCTGAACTCAGAATCTGGTATGAGTCCTCTTTCATTCAATATTTAATGGTGTCAGATAGTTACTATTTCTATGAGTTATTGTTTCTTGGTGTTTGAGGTTAATACAACTCATAGTGCCACTATGAATAGATCTGAACTGTACCCTACCTTGTGCCACCCTCGATGGCAAAATTGTGAAACAGATAAGGTCTCTGTCTTTGAAGGGAGATAAAAAGGGTTAGACACAAGAAGGAATACCATTAAGCCCGTGACATTCTGAGAGGATGTAAGGGTAAAGGAGAACAGAGTAGATCAAATAGAGTCTGAGGTGGTCCTAGTGGTTTGCTAGAGATTCTAGTGCAAAAAGGGAGGACATTTGATTTGACAGCTACAGAATAGTATTTATATAGACATAAATCAAAGAAGGGTAAGACTCAGACAATAAGCTATTCCATTTATTTACAGCATCACATCTATTTTGAGAAGCAGTTATACAAAGGTAGTCTGATATTAGTATAAAATCAGTGATTTAGATAGATACTTGGGTTTAGATTAAAAATTTCTGTAAAATCATCAGGAGACATATTGTACTGGGAAAGTCCGTAGTCAAGGACATCTATAAATTATTAAGAAGTAATGCTGTAAGTTTTAGGACTAAGGTATACCTGATTCATGACATGGTCTTTTCAATTATTTGTGTGCATCTGAGAGCTAGACAATGAATAAGAACTGATGACTTTAAACTGTGATGCTGGAGAAAAGTACTGAAGATCCCATAGACTGCTAAAAGAACAAACAGATATGTCTTAGTGAAGTTGCAGCCAGAGTATTCCTCACAAGCAGAGATGATGACCCTTCATCTTACATACTTTGGACATGTCCCTAGGAGAGGATATTCCTTAGATAGGGACATCATGTTTGGAAAGGTGGAGGGACAGCAAAAGATTAGAAGACCCTCAACCAGGTGGGTTCTCACTGTGACTGTAATGGGCTTGAATGTGTCAGAGCTGTAAGGATGGCACAGGACAGGACAAGCTACAGGTCTACTGTTCATAGGGTCTCCATGACTTGAACTCAACTCAACTGCACCTAACAACAACAACAGATGAAATCATCATTTGTTTTGACAGTATACCAAACACTCTTTGAGGGACTAAAAACACTACAGTAACAAGAGAGAAAAGAAATTAAAGCAGGAGAGACAAGACTCCTTAGAAATTTATCAAAATAATCTGCACCATCATTGTTGTTATTGATTGTCATGGAGTTGAGGACTCATATCAACCCTATGAACAAAAGACCTGAAGCCTTTCTTTAAATATTATTTCTCTAAGTTCACAGATTTTCCAGAGGCATGTTGTTTAGGAAGTTGATGCCACTCCTGCTTCCAAACCTGTCTTAAAACTGGGAACTCCACTATGAGTACCTGTTATGACTTTCAACACCCCAAAGGCACAAGGTTCAGCATCACAGCCACCCCAGGTTACCTCAGTACAGCAAATTGACAGAAGAATGCTGTACCACTTAGAAGAATGTTCCTCCAAAACATAATAAAAATCTACTTTTAATTACAAAGGCCCTCCATGAGGTCTTGTTGACTCAATACAAGAGGCTTAAATAAAAAATAAAAAAAAAAACCAGCCAATACAATGTGTTGCTGTTGTTGTTATGTGCTGTTGAGTTGCCTGCGACCAGTAGTGATCCTACGTACAGCAGCTCTGAACTCTTCCCTGTCCTGAGTCAGTCTCACTACAACACACCAACTCTCATTGCCTCAGTTACTGTATCAATCCATCTTATCTGGGGTCTTCCACTCCTGCCTGTCCCTCCACCCTTCTGAGCATGATGTCCTTCTCCAAAGACCAATCTCTCTTGGCCATGAGCCCAAAGTATTTGAGACAAAGCTTCAAAATCCTAGCCTCTTACATCATCCTTAGTGATTCTTCAGCTCTCTGAAGCATAACAAGTAATTGCAAAGACCTCCCACCTTATTTACACAATTCATAAAAGCCCTTGAAAATCTCAAATAGTTTTCTTTTTAGAAAGAATCATCACTTGAGAAAATTTGTGGCATAATACCAGTTGTGTATTATAATTTGAAAACCCCAAGAGGATCAGATAAAGGTTTAACAGTTGCAGATATCATTGAAATAAAAGAAAAAAAATCTGGTTAGACAGGATTTAATCTTAGATCATGAAGACCTTTTCTTAGTTGGGAAGCATCATCTATACTTAGCACATGTCTTAAATTTTATCTACTGGAGAAGAAAAATCAAAAGAAACCCAACTGTTACAAGTAAAAATGTCTTTGCCTAGTGCTTTTGAGGATGTCATATCCATTGTTGTCATTCTATCCTTGTTAGAATAGCAAGAGTAAGTGAATGTGTGAGAATTATCATGAGGTAGTCAAGAAATTGCCTAGGTAGCAGTTAAAAAGAGGCAGTCTGATTCTCAAGCCTGTGTACGTCACAGTTCTGCCAACCTGTCAAAAAGCTGTGACTAGTAGCACACTCACATTTCTAAGGACTCAAATAGTTCTATCACACTAGATAGTCAAATGTAGTATTTGTGTTTATGTATATATCGATGCACATATAAACACAAACTATTGTCTAAAGTTGTATGTAATTTTTAAAATATAAAATTAAATAATCATATGTTGTAGGCTTTAGGTGCCATTAAATACAGCTCCTAGCAATCCTACGTACAAAGGATCTGAACCCTATTCTATCTTGTACAGTCCTCACTTCTGACACTTTCAAGTCTATTTCTGCAGTCACTGTGTTAATCCATCTGCTTGAGGATTTTCCTTTTCTTTGCCATCCCTCCACCTTTCCAAGCATAATGTCCCTCTCCAAAGAATAGCCTCTCCTAGCAGCATGGGCAAAGTATTTACAACTAAAATCACCTTTGCCTCCAAGGAACACTCTGGCTGTACTTTCTCCAAGATACTTTGGTTTGTTCTTTTGTCATTCCTTGCACTATTTATTACTCTTCTCCAATGCGATAGTTCAAAGGCATCAATTCTTCTTCTGTCTCAAAACAACTATGACATATAATCTCACCCCAACAACAATAGCAAAGATCAACAGGGCAGCAAACAACAAATGCTGGCAAGTTGTGGAGATTGGAATTTTTATTCACTGCTGGTGGGCATGTAAAACAGTACAACTGCTATGGAAGGCAGTCTGTAACTTTTTCAAAAAGTTAGAAATAGAAATATCATTTTGATCCAGCAATTCCACTACTGGAAATACTCCCTAAAGAAACCAGAGCCACGACTCAAACAAAAGTATGCACATCATTGTTTATTGTTGCATTACTCACAATGTTGTTGTTGTTATGCGCAGTCGAGTCGTTTGCGACTCATAGCGACCCTATGCACAACAGCCCCTAAACCCTGCTCTATCCTGTGCCAACCGCACCGCCTCTGACACACCCATCCCGATTACCCCAGTCACCGAATCAATCCATCTCATAGAGGGTCTTCCCCTCCTGCACTGTCCCTCCACCCTCCCAAGCATGATGTCCCTCTCCAAGGACCCGCCCCTCCTGGCAACATGTCCAAAGTATGTCAGACGAAGCCCCAGAATCCTTGCCTCCAAGGAGTAGCTTGGTTTAATCCTCTCCAAGATGAATCTGTTTGTTTTCCTGGCAGTCCATGGTACATTCAGTACTCTTTTCCAGCACCACAGCTCAAAGGCATCAACTCTCCTTCTGTCCTCTCTAGTCAATAAAGCAACCCAAGTGCCCATCAGCAAATCATGGGGTTGTACAATTTGATGGGGGGAACTGGGGGGAAAAATTGGAAGAATCTCTACTGGGAAACAATATTCAAATTTTGTAAATAAACTAGAATAGTAATATAAGAAAAAGAACTTTAAAAAACAATAAACAACAACAATACACAGACAAACTATGGTACATTCACACCATTCACACACAGAATTGAAAAACAATGAATTCATAAAACATTACACAACATAGGAGACCCTGAAGAACATTCTGCTGAGTGAAATATCTCAGTCACAAAAGGACAAATATTACATAGCAAAACTGTTATAAAATAAGACAGACATGGAGAGGGGGTTGAGGAGAGAAAAGGCAAAGAATGAAACAGAACAGATGAGGAAGAGAACTGTCTGAAGGAAAGAAGTGACTA